ACTTTTCTATACTCTTCCCTCAGTAAAACAGGTCTCCTTGTTAATATGGTGCCAATTTATGAGTCCTGGGGGAGGAAGTTCAAAGCAGGAATTTTAAGTGACAAAAACCTCAAAGACAAAAGACAGTTCAAAGAAACAGTCAAAATTTCTGCTCTCTGGTACACATGGCTCCTTTCTTCAGGACAATGTGTGAGGATCTATGTCTTCCACCCTGCATTGCTCTCATACTCTGCAGACAAATGTGATTTGCTGATGAGGGAAGCACATTATCTTCCAGAGTATCTCCAGCCAGAGCTTTTTTCTTAGCTGAGTAACAGCAGTGTCTACTCTTGTGTGTTCTCTTTCTCTCCACTCAAGGCTTCAAGTTATGTTGTCAGTGGCAATGTTGCCTTAAGCGGTACGACCCCCACATGCTCCTGCTCTTGGGCCAGCAAAACACTTGTTAGAGCAGCCTGAGGCTTACATGAAGTCCTTCAGCTGAGGAGCTGTCAAGAGATGTCTCTACCAGGGAGGATATCTTTTCAAAGCAGGTCAGAGTGAGAAATGTCAAGAAGCAACAAAAAAGAAGATCCCCATCCTTTTTTTTTTTTTTTTTTTTCTCCTCCTCACAGCTGAAGCTGTCTGGAAGATTTCTACTTTCATGGCATATCTGGTTAAAAACCTAAAAATCTAAGTATGAAGTCTGTTTGAGTATATATATGTAATACATATTCTAATGAGATACTGGTTTATTACTTGCCGTAACTTTACCAAAATCTTTGCTAACAACAACAATAAAAAGTAATAATAACCTTGAAATAACAATATTTTTTAGACTCAGATATGAATCTGTAACTTAGAACTATGGTTATTAACATCTCATTTTCAAGTGTTTATTGAATTTCAGTAATTCTCTTCCAGAGCTGCATGAATCTCCCAGTTTGTCTTTCTAGCAATAGTCTAAAGAAATATCCTATGGCAGATTTTTTTAGTGTGTTTAGGGTATTTTTTCTTGGAACTTTAGGTTAATGAGATTCAGAAACACATTAAAGTTATGCACAAATTAAGTATTGCACTGAAGGAGGATGGACCTAAATAGGTATTAAAAAGCCATCTTGAACCCATGGCCCATAGAAGGCCATCCTCTCTTCAAGCTCCCCACTTCTTTGAGCAGCAGTGCAGAGCAGGTCAGGTTAAGTAATACAAAAGGACCAACACCCTTGTTCTGTGATATAATTAGATAATTTATTAATAGGCCAAGGAACAGAGGAACCCTCATACAATATAGAGGGCCAAGAATCCCAACAGCTCCTGCCAAATCTGATTAAACATTGCTGCACACTGGGATGTGTCTGGAGGACCCACTTCACTCACATCACACAGATGTCCTGGGATCTCCCTGAACTGAAATGTTTGAAGCATGTAGCTGGTAGAAGGATGTGATCTACTAACTGCATCTTTCTAAGCAGGTACTGGCAGCAGATTTAAACCTAGCATATGTACAGACCCTTTTGCATTTTTTGGAGCCAAACCATAATCAAACCAGACTTTTGGGTCCTCAGGAGAATAAATAACAAGTGAACAAACACTCTAAGAAGCAAAGAGAAATGCTAACTTGTAGATGACTGGCTTGGTTAGTAATTTTCAGTAGCTGCAACATACTCCAAGCAGGCTCTGGGTCATGTGGAGCTGTCAGCAGGAAGCGCTGAGGAGCTGATACACGGCATGGACGGCACACACCTGTGAACCACAGGGCACTGGAAAAACTGCTTTCCCCAGTCAGCCCTATGACTGGGGAAAACATATGGACTTTGTCAACGTCCAAAAATGTAAGAGGGTTTAGGGTGACTCCGAAGCACAAAGAGGTCCGGCAGACCAATGAAGTACAGGTACATTTTTGCTGGGCCTTCAAAATTCTTACCTGTTTAAAGTGAGAGGGTTTTGTGCTGGGTTTTGGTTTTGGTTTTTGTGAAACCCTGACTGAGACAGAAGCAGTGTACATTTATTACAAATGTAATCAAGTTTTTCTTTTAGCCTCTCCTGGGTACTAACACTTCATCTGTCCTAAGAAGTAGTCTCTTGTAAGTTTGATTTCCTATAAAGGAAGACAACAAGGTGAGACTGATGGACTCAAATATGTCTTAGAAATCAAACAATTTTTGAAGCAGAGACCCAGAAGTAAAATAAAATATACTTTTGCTTCAGGGCTTTTCTCCATACGAATTTTTCTTCTTCGCATAGTTCCCCCACCCAGACAAAATGCAGCTATGACAACATGGAAATCCCCTGAGCAGCACAGCTCTGATAATAAGATTGTTCAGGTTCAGCCAAAATATTATGTCTGAAAAGTCTTTTTCTTTTAGTTTGCTTCAGCTGAAACAGGAAAAAAGAAAAAAAAAAAAAAAGATCAAAGTGATAGCCCACTCAATTATAAACAAGACAAATTTAAAGTGAGAAGGTGTAATTTCCAGATAATGATCAGTTTGTACAGGAGAGCCCTCCTTTATTGATATTTCTGGCTGAACATGAGATAGAAATTAGCCTGAGGGTTTCTAGAAAAATATGATGTTGAATATTATTAAACAAGGTGCTGAAATCCTTACATAAATATTTTTTAAAGCAAACTAGGTCTAGGCCTTAGGGATGTGAAGTCACCAGGACCCAATTTCATTGATTCAAGTTTGGCTTCAATGGGCTTTCATCAAGCATAGGAAACTCAGGAGGGAGACATGAGGACTAACTATTCATAAAGTCCCACCAGGTGGCTCAGACTTCCGAAAGAGGGTATTTCTTGAAGGGGTATCGTGTGAATGGGGCAGTGACCCAAATAATTCCCTAAGTGAAGTCAAGCTTTTGAGTGAGTGTCAGTCAGACCACGGTGCTGCCCTCTTCAGTGGCTCCTTGACCCTGCTGCCACGTCCAGCTCCTGCTCTGCTTTGTATGTACGGGTGGTCACTGTGGCCTGGCAGGTCCCTCTCCTGTTTGTGGCTGGGAAGTATTGTAGAGGTCTGACAAGCAGAAATCTACCCCCTGACTCACATTGGAATCTTTTTTAATTCAATGGAGAGAAATAAATATATTTATATTTCATCTTTTTAATGCCTGTGTTAGGATGAGAGAAATCACGTTCTCTGCTGGGTAGACAGGAGTGAAGCACAGAAAGTTCTGACACAGGAATATACACTGTAAATACCCACATATTGACCAGTGAATCTAAACCCATATTTTCCTATGTACCTAGGCTTAGTGCACTTTCAGGGAACACTTTGGTGGGGAGTCTCAGGGTCCTACCACAAGGAGGGACTACACCAGTATGGGAGATGTTCGTCTGCTGGGCAGCCTCTCTAAGCTCTCATGGAAAAGGGGCCATTTCTTCCCACTAAAACAGGGCAGGGAAGCCTAGAAACACCCCCTTGGCTACACACTACCCCCTGCTCAGGGCAGCAAGTGGCACTGGAGGACAGTCCCTGATGTCCTGATGAGAAGGATACTTCTTTATACATGAGCATCGAGTTTTCTTCATTTTGGCGAGTGGTTTAAATTATTTCCTTGCACATGAAAAATCTGCTGTGACTTCCATATTGAGTCTCCTTATTATAGTGTCATAGTTTTTCTGTTTGCTTGGGCATTGTTACCAACTTTGCCCTCGATTTCCTTTACGCCTCCGACATAAAGCTTTTTTGGTGCAGCCGAGGCTGTGCCAGAGCTTGTTCTGCTCTTTCAGGTCTTCAGCTCACTTCTAGTTAGCCACATCAGTCAGCCGTGTACATGGCCCTGCATTACGCTCTAGCATGCGTTGGTGTATACAGCCACAGAAAGTGTGCAAAGGAAATATTTAACACATCTTTATCTTCCGCTTTCTGTCTCTACTTCGTCCATAGACTGAAAAAATGTCAAATGTACCACTTTGTTCTCAAGAGCTAGGTTTTGCAGAATTAGTCTTTTAAATCACAGCTTTTCTGGGTCAGCCCTGCCTTATGTGGGACTTCATAGAATCACAGAATGGTTTGGGTTGGAAGGGACCTTTGAAGATCATCTAGTCCAACCCACCCTGCTGTGCACAGGGACATTTTTCACCAGATCAGGTTGCTCAAAGCTTCATCCAACCTGTCCTTGAACATTTCCTGTGATGGGGTGTCCCCAATTTCTCTGGGCAACCTGTTCCACAGTCTCACCACTCTCATAAAAAAAAGTCTTTCCCTTGTCCAATCTAAACCAATCTAAATCAACCCTCTTTCAGTTTAAAACTGTTGCCCCTTGTTTTGCCGCTACAGGCCCTGGTTGAATATCTCTCTCCATCTTTCTTATAAGTGCCACAATAATGTCTTCCTGGAGCCTTCTCCAGGCTGAACAGCCCCAACTCTCTCAGCCTCTCCTCACAGGAGAGGTGCTCCAGCCCCCTGATCATTTTTGTGGCATCCTCCGGACCTGATCCAACAGGTCCATTACTTTCCTATGCTGAGGACTCCAGAGCTCAATACAGCACTCCAGATGAGGTCTCACCAGACCAGAGTAGAGGGGGAGAATCACCTCTGTTAACCTACTGGCCACACTCCTTTTGATGCCAACTCTTAAAGAATAAATAACAGCAACCGTGCTTAGTGTTTCACAGCTGGAAGATTTTTTTCCCTCAGACCTGTGTACATCCATTGAGAGGAAAGTGGATGAGAGAACTAGACCATGCTCTCAGGGGAATCAGCATCAGAAATCCCATCCCAGCCAAGCCCATGAAACGTGGTCTCAGTGCACTGGACTTGACCAGGTTTGTCCTAATGAGTCAATAAGCCTGATCCAGAAGGTCCTTAGTTTTGAAGTGGGTAGCATGTTTCAAAGTAAAAGCTCTGTTAATATCTTCGTGCTGGCTTCCTGCTCTCTGCCACTAGTCATCCTTGTCGGCATGTTTACATTTCCCCTTGCCTGCGGTCTCTTTATCAGGCAATGGGTTTGTTCTGCGTCTAGTATAAAGTAAGAGAGCGCGGGTTTCACACACACACGTACTGCACACATGCAGCATGCTCAAGATGACACAGATGAGCACAGTACTGAGCATTTTCGTCTTGTTTCTTCGCACCACTTTTGGGGAAAGTGGTTGCACCTCAGCAGATGGTGATGGTGAGTCATTTCATCTTCATCTTTCCACTCATGTATGATCTTAAAAAACCTGAGTTAAGAGCTCCAAAATGCAACTGCTAGGTTAAATGACTTAGTGTTTTAGCCTCCAGTCTCTTTCTTTTAGTGCCAGTACCCAAGGCAGATCTGGAGCTTTAATTCAATTCTCAAGTCTGATGTCCTTGTAATGTCCAAATTCTTATGAAATTAAGGAGACCATAGCTGTATGCAGAGGGCATGCCAGATCAGACCTGTTAATCCTCTCTCATTGTGTCTAGTGTTCATGTTGTATCTAGTGTCCATGAGGAGTTATGCCTGGGAGTGAGGAACTGCTTCACTCTTCTGCAGTCCATGGTCACTTTGAGCTGCCATCAGAGAGGGGTGATCTGGCTTCTCTTATTCTGGGCAGTTTCCTCCAAAGAAAATGTTTTAATGTACCTCAAACCTGGCCCAAGCTGTTCCATTTCAAAAGCCAAGTTTTTATCTTTTTCTTTAAATAATTGTATCAGGTATATCTGTGGGATAGTCCGAGTCTCCCTTGTAGTATGACTGAAGCAGCAACTCAGCCAGGGTGTTCTCACAGCCCATCACTAAAAGCATTCATCCCTTACTAAGCAAATAATTATAAATTAATTCAACATTTTAAATTTAGGCTTACTGCAGATTTCATTATCTCATTTGGAGAAGTGAAAATTATTTAGCAGCATCAAAATCATAAATCGAAATGTAAAGAGTAGCAATAAAACCACTGCTTCAGACTACTGTACTTTTTGTCAAAAGGGAGATGAAAAATTGAATTTACAGATTCAGACACAGATTTGTTAAACTCTTACTTGTCTAATACTAAACCAACATCAGTAACAGAGCTTGTTGCATTGTACCTGAAGGACGTGAGCTACGCAGTTAATGGTAGTTTTAGGGCTCCATTGTTTGGGAGTAAAAGAGTTTTTGGTTTTTAGGTAGATAATGGCTGTGTTCCTATGCTATCTCACAGGGAACCTCGTTTTCCCCTGTGCGCCATATATTATAACATATATGTATGTATGTACACATATATACACAGACAGAATATGCATTATAAGATTTCAGTTAGAAGAAAACAGGGAGTGGCTCAGAACTGCATCTAACAACCTTGGTTTTTCTATTTGTCTTTTATTTATACACCGCTTAGATTCAGCTTTGGCAAGCAGCTACAGTGGTGAATAGTCAATGCTGGTGATTTATCAGTGGTGTCACTGAAATCTTAATGCTTCCCAGAAGCAGATATGACCAAAAGTTTGTTTCATCATTAACTTCCAGTAAACTATAATTGGTTTAGACTTAAACAGATTCAGATAATCCCCACTGAGCATTTATCAGCTTTTATAATTTCTTTATGAGTTTCCTGGTTTTGGCCAACAAATTAAACAATCCAGGGTAAAATCACCTGTGATAGATGTTTGGCTTTCAGTCTTCACCTTCCCAACTCACCCTGCCTCCTGGCAGAGTGCCACACGAGCTCACCCCTTCTTATGGGCAGAGGAGGAAAATGTGCATTGCAGCACTTGCCTTCAATCTCTTCCTCTTTTCTGAGCAGCAGGTTGCCTTCCAAGAGCTGTCCCCCAGCCGAAGAGAGTTTGTGGAGATCCCCCAAAGCCCTAACAGAGCTACAAGCAGAGCTAAGAAGGGCAGTCATGAGGCACAGGAGGGCCCAGGCAGGGGCAGGAGGAGGCAGCAGGCTGCAGGGTCTCATGGGCAGGACAGCTGTTTTCAATCCTCCTCCCAACCCGGACTTGTATGGTTTGTGTAACCCACATCAAAACTGTTTAAATGTTTAAATTAAAATGAGTTCTGCCTGAATCAGATCAGCACTAGAGATTTCGCATTGCTCTGGCCACGGACACAGTCACTTCACTGACACTGGAAATTCAGTCACTGATCCTGAAGGTGTTTAGCAGTGCCTTTAGTTTCACACTGTTGTTAATCCCAGCGGCTTCAGAGTTTAAAGCTGAAGCATGTCCATTGTCTCTGCTAACACTCCTCTCTTGGTAAAGGCTCATGAGATTCCTGCTGTGATTTGAACCATCCTGTTTGGTGTTGTCCAAACCTGAGGCAATAATTTCTGTGAAGAACTTGCGGTGGCTGTTTTTCTCCCTCTAGAATAACCCCATCTCAAACCCTGCCTTGTTTTCAGCAGAGCCAGGGCCCTGCCTTGTTTGAGCTTCTCAAGGAAAAAAGGATAATCTTGTAAATTTTTCATTATGTAACGAAAGAGTCCTTAGTTGTGTGAGTCATGTTGGAGTCATCAAAACCATTTACGTATCAAAACAGTTCATTTGTACATGGTAGTTCTGAGGTTTAGAGAAGAAGTGTAAGTTATGTCATACAAAAAAATTAGTCAGTCCATAGAGGAGCTGTACTACAATAGTGCTTTAAATTGCTTACTTAATACCATTGATGAGATTTAATTATCATATATTCTATGATTAGGATATTATTTCCATGCATAAGGAACCATGTAATCACAATGTGAAAGTTCAGTGTCAAAGAAGTAAAATCAACTTTTCTTCCAGTGAGGCACCAAAGGTGTACTACACTTATTAAATATTAAATGGCTGTTTGAGCTAAAAGATAAAATCTTTTTCTTTCTTGTCATTTTGCAGTTCAGCCAGATAGATAATTAATAAAATTTCTGTTACTTGTCAGCAAAGCAGTAGCAGACAGCTGAAAGATTTTTTCAGATATGCCATTTATTAATATGATGATTACCAGTTTTGTCTGTTTATGCAGAATCTGGTATATGTACTTTGCATATACAGAGAGCACCAATCAGCCTCTCTCTCACATAAAGTAAGATCAGTCATCCTAACTCGTAAGTTTTAAAGTTGTCTTGAGGTAGCTATGAATGTAAATAAAACAGTCTCCTGGTAGTTGCAGGTAAAGTCAGAGAGACATAAAATTTGACATATTTGAGCATGTGAGCTTTGGGTGTAGCTATCTATATAAAATATGGGGGGGTGTGGGGGGGTGTGGGG